AAATTTTTAATTGTTCAAATCTGGGTTCTGAGCTTGCCAATCCAGGAGTCGAACACCATGCTTCTTCATCCACTGCTGGATGGACTTGGCTCAATGATAAGGAGTATTGTCATTCTGGAAGTAAAAGTCCTTTCCTAAAAGTTGCTGAGCTGAAGGAATCATGGTCTTTTCCAGAACTTCAACATACTGCTTGGAATTCATGATTCCCTGCACAATTTGTAACTGACCAATACCAGAAGCAGCGATACAGGCCCAAATCTTCATGTGCAATGGATGCTTCACACATAGATTCAGGCAGTACGGCCTAAATTCTTCATCTGGAAATCTTCTTACATACTTATTTCACTGATTCCCAGTCAGGAAGAAATTGCTCTCATCACTGAAGATGACTTCGTGTTTGTTGGTCCACTTGGCATACTTCTTGGCCCACGCACGTCAACGAGAACGGTGAGTGTCTGTGAGCAAAAGTTTATTTCGAGCCCTGCAGCCTTTGAGCCCTCTGGCAAGCAGTCTGTGACACACTGTACTTTTCCACACTTTTCCATCACATGTTTCACCCCAAATTCTTGTAATCTGAGGTGAGGTGAACTTCCTGTCAGCCATAGAAATGCATTGCAGAGCCCGATCTTGCTGTTTTGTCGACTTTCTTGGTCTTCCAGAGTGGAGTCTGTTATTAACTGAACCAGTTATTTGGTGTTTTTCAACCATTCTGCTCACTGTGGTGCGATGGCATTTCACTCTCTTGGCTATTTCTGTACAGGAGTAATCCTCTTCATGAAGCATAATCATACAATGCCGCTGCTAGTATTGGTGAAAACAAAGGCCTTCACCCTTGCCCGCAGCCAGAGCTAAATTAAATTTCTCGATGCTTTTTATGCCTATTTATAGTCAGAGAGTATGACAACATTGATTGGCTCATAGATTTAGCCTCTGTGCATTTTGATTGGCCAGCCACAGCTCACTGTTGATTGGCTACTTTCGGTCCTAACATTCTCGAAAATGCAAGTTGTGTTTGTTTTAGCAGATAAACTCACTCAAAAGCTTAAAAAGACTTTGGTTATATCAATACAAATTATGCATCTCAATCCAACTACAGAAATTTTCATCAAATTACTAATTTTCCGTGGTTTCTATGAGTGAAAAATTAATTAAACATGGAAATACAGCTTAAAACTGAAAGTGTGCAGAACTTTTTCACACAGCTGTAGGTGCACATCAGAATTGTTCTAAGTTCACACAAAAATCCTGAACAGAATTCATCTTAAAGACAAATTTTAGTTTAGTATTTAAAAAAAAATCTAAACTGCATAATGAAAAAGGCAATAACTTTCAGAGCCATTGTTTTAGAATTCATTCATCCTAAATTGCATTACAAACAATCTTGAATAAATCTTTGTAAAGAGACTGAGGACAATATAGAAAGTTCAAATCTATGAAGAACTTGATAACTACTATTTCCAAATAAAATGAAAGTTACTATTACTGTATTTCCAAACAAAATGAAATAGCGAAACTGTATAAAATTATCAAACTCTCCAACATAAAATATTCCATATATATATGTTTTCTTAAATGTTCACGGGTACTTACATGTATGGTATTCCGCTTTGTTCAGGTATTTTCCCACGTCATTGTAGTTGTGCTTTTAAAGTTGTAGCAACGTTACGGCAGAATCTCATCTGCCATCATCACCTTCTGTATTGTGTTCGACTGTGAGTCAGTCAACAACTGTAAAGGTCTGACTCACAGACGAACACAATACACTGATGATGGCAGATGAGATTCTGCCTAAACGTTGCTACAACTTTAAAAGCACAACTACAATGACATGGAAAAATACCCGAACAAAGCTGAATACCATACATACATACATACATACATACATATGTATGGCATTCAGCTTTGTTCGGGTATTTTCCCACGTCATTGTAGTTGTGCTTTTAAAGTTGTAGCAATGTTTCGGCAGACTCTCATCTGCCATCATCAGGCTTCTATATAGTGTTCATCTGTGAGTCAGACTTTTACAGTGGTTTCAGATTTAAATTTGGGGCAGCTATTGCTGTACCAGAATGGTTTTTTCTTCATCCTGATTGGTTGGGAGTCTTGGTCTGTGTTTATTGGTCTTGGAATTTGCTGTGTTTTGCTTGATTGGTGTTTCTAATATCTTCTGTCTGTTTTTTGACTCTTTTTGTATCTTGATTGGCTGGCAACATTGTGTTACTTTATTGGAGCCCTTTAGTGCAGCTTGGCTCTGGGTAAATGGACGGCTATCTTTAGTTAGGAAGCTAGGTTTCATCTGGGTGCCTGGTTGGGGTGTATTTGAGCTGGAGGTATCGGGGGGATCTGTTTGTGCCCAGGTGTTTGCCTGGCTTGTGGTGTGGAGATTTTTTTGTTTGTGAGTGCAGGCTTCCAAATGATTGGCAGCCTGGTGGAATCATCTCTTCTATTCATACTTTCTGGTCTTTTTTCAATCTCTATGGCTTCTTTGATAATTCTGTAGCTGGGGTTTTCTATAGTGGCTAGGGTTTTGGTGCTATTGAAGTCGATGCTATGACCTGCGGCTTTCAACACATATATATGTGTGTGTGTGTGTGTGTATGTGTGTGTTTTCTTAAGTTTTCACGGGTATTTATATGTATGGTATTCAGCTTTCTTCGGGTATTTTCCCACGTCATTATAGTTGTTTCAGCAGAATCTCATCTGCCATCATCAGGCTTCTGTATTGTGTTCGTCTATGAGTCAGACTTTTACAGCCGTTTCTGTTTTAAATTTGGTGCTAGCCTACTGTTGTGCCAGAATGGTTTTTTCTTCATCCTGATTGGTTGGGAGTCTTGGTCTGTGTTTATTGGTCTTGGAGTTTGCTGTGTTCTGCTTGATTGGTGTTTCTAATATCTTCTGTCTGTTTTTTTAGCATTTTTTGCCTTGATTGGCTGGCAACATTGTGTTTCCTGTATTGGAGGCTTTTAGTGCGGCCTGGCTACAAGTAAATGGAAGGCTATCTTTTATTAGGGTGCCTGGTTGGGGTGTGTTTGAGCTGGAGGTATCAGGGGGAGTCTGTTTGTGCCCAGGTGCTTGCCTGGCTTGTGGTGTGGAGATTTTTTTGTTTGAGAGTGCAGGCTTCCAGATAATTGACAATCTGGTAGAGTCATCTCTTCTATTCATGCTTTCAGGTCTTTTTTCAATCTCTATGGCTTCTTTGATAATTCTGTAGCTGGGGTTTTCTATAGTGGCTAGGGTTTTGGTGCCATTGAAGTCGATGCTATGACCTGCGGCTTTCATGTGTTGGACTCATGAGGAAGTGTGTTCCAGCTTTTTGACTGCATTTTTGTGTTCATCTAGGCGAGTACTTATTCTTGTATTGGTCTGTCCAATGTATGTGGCCAGGCATGATGCACAGGGACTTCATATATGCCTTGGTTTTCCAGGTCAGTTTTATCTTTGGGGTTTCTTAGGATGGCTGCTATTTTTCTGTCTGTTTTGAAGGCAGTCTTGATGTGATGCCTGTGTAGTATCTTACTGGTTTTGTCTGTAGTACCTCATATGTAGGGCAGGACAGCTGTTCCATAGGCCTGTTCATCTTCTAGGTCTCCATTATGTCTCATTGTGTTTTTGTGGATCAAGCCAGTGATTTTGCTTTTGTGGAAGCCATTGGCTATCAGTACTTTAGTCAGGGTGCATAGTTCAGTCTTTATGTATGTCTTGTTTGCCAGGCGTTTGGTTCTGGCAATTAGTGTTTTGGCCACAGAGTTTATCTGTTGAGGTAGCAGTTGTTGTGTGTTTTCTTCTGGTATATGGTGTGTCCTAGTGTGTCATCTGTTTTTTTGTAGATTAGTACATCTAGGAAGGGTAGTTGTTTGTTTCCGTTACCATGGTGAATTTGATTTGGGGGTGTGTGCTGTTTAGGTGTGTTAGGAAATTGTTTAGGTTTTCTTTTCCATGGGGCCAAATAACAAATGTGTCATCGATGTATCTTAACCATAGTTTGGGTTTGTGGGTGGCATTGGCTAGGGTTCTGGATTTGAATTCTTCCATGAACAGGTTTGCAATGACGGGTGACAGTGGTGATCCCATAGGGGCTCCTTCAATTTGCTTGTATCTTTGTCCTTTGTATATGAAATATGTGTTGGTTAAGCAGTGTTCTGTTAGTTCCATGAGGTGTTTAGGTGGTTGGTATTTATTCTTGTACATAGACAAAATTATTGGGCACTTATAATTTTTTTGCAGAATCCATATTTGCTATTTAAGCAATTGAAGAATATTGTTTAGGACTGACAAATTACAAACATGGAATAAAAAGTTTTTAAAAAGTATGTTATCTAAATAAATTCATCAAAAACAATTTTTATATTATGGACATTCCAACAGTTTTTTTAAAAATGTCAATTTTTTATATTTGAATGTAATAAATTTGAAATAATTTTGTCCCAGTTTAGTTTAATGTCTGTATTTTTATCATAATGTGCTGAGAAAGGTATTTATATTTAAAGATATGGATGTATTGTTTAACTACAGTATTACTGAAAAACTTAAACTTGTCAATTTATGAAAAACTCACATTTGATAAAAATGTGCAGTTAGAAAAACGATATAATCTCAGGGATAAAATTCTGTCTTAAGGAAATGTTTTTAGTTTCAGCCTGTAAACTGACTCTTTTTTTAATAGAAATAATGGTAATGTTGATTAACATGACACTTGTATGGTCAAAGTTTGATTGGTTATTCAAAATAAATATTATAGGAATTTAACTACATCTTTGGCTCCGGTATCAAAATAACTTTGGTGGATCCTGATGAAAAATATTTCAATAGCAAAAAGTTATCCATTATTATTGAAAGTAAGAACCATACTTGAATACTGCAGTAACAAAATTATATATGATATCTTATGCATGAGGAAAATCCTTAGTTATTAGCTGGAAATGATTCTAAAACAGTTGGTCCTTACTGAAAGATATACTTCATGATACCATTTTAACATATTATCAGAATTTAATATTTACCCCTTCAAACGTCGCTTCTTCATTTCAGAAGACTCCTTGGGTTTTTCCATATCTTTGGAATCAACCTTTGAAAAGAAATGTACTCAATTTCTGCATCTCTGCATACAAGAAGTTCAGAAAATTCCCTTTATCTTAACGTATCATATCTATTTCTATATTCTATTTCATCAACGCCTTGTCCAAGTAAATTTTCTAATACCATTTATCTGGAATGATATACATTTGTTTACCTTGAAAAGGGGATTAGACTAGAAGATCTTCAAGATTCCTTCCAGACCCAAATTTCATTTTGGTGAAGAATATTAATTATGAATCCTATATTATTATTTGTGAACAAATTAATATAAACAGCCTTTATTTGTATGCTGTTAAGCATTGAGCTTTCTCCCCTATTTAAATGTTACTTTTGGAACATGATGAATCAAAATATTCAAGATTGTAAATAAATTTAAATTTTTAGATATTTGAAGGAAGGGTTTTTCTTCTTCTTTCCTAGTAAGAAATATTATTGTTTAGGCTTTCTCCTGCTGAGATTCAGGGGATCTTAGAAGTTACCTTTTCTTACTTCAGAATACAATTAAGTATATGGCAGAAAATGTATAAACCAAATTATTAATATTAATATGCAGAGAATATGGTGAAAATCAAGTTGGGTAATTTTAAACATTTTTCCTGGCATGTTGCAAAGAAAGTTTCTCTGAATTTAAAGATAGGCTCCATGGTGCAGCATCCATTTTCTTTAGAATTAAAGGATCAATCTATTCAAAATCATCTTGCAAGATGAAGCCGCAACGATTCTCTGGTCTTGTCCATCTAGCATCAGTTTCAGAATGGAACTAAGTAGTTTTATTTTCCAGATTCATAGAAATTCTTCATGGCAGCCTTTTAAATGGTTATTCATCCATCCATTCTCAATAAGGTCACATGTAATGTGGTAAGATGTAGTAAGAACATAGAAATACTGGTGTTTCACCACTTTTATCATCACAGTATAGACCCAAACATAAATTCTAACACAACTAGTCAGAACTACTTCTTGTTTTATGCCTGAGGCCCTGTAAGTGTCTCGTGATTCATTCTATAGAGCAGGGCTGTCAAACTCCCAGCCCACGGGCCAGATGAGTCAAGTGCTGGCTCCGCCCACACCCAGTTTAGCAAAGGGGGAAAAAGTCATGTGAACTCGCCATGATGACATGAGTTTGATACCCCTGCTATAGAGCTTCTAAGTAAGCAAAACAAACCCTCTGAATCAGAAAATTGAGAGACCATTCAGATGCAATTTCATATAAAGTCTTTGGCACTTTCACCTAAGTACAACTGTCCACTGCTAATATGGAAAACTTACAAGTAGCCCCTGGGATCTAAGTACTTTTATTATATATTTTGAAAAAAACTTATCTCATTGTATACTAATATAGAACACCAATAGCACAATCTATTAATCTGAAGAGTGGATCATTATTCTTATTCTTATTCTTATTATCTGATTTATAAACTAAAGGAAGTTATCATCTAAGCCAGGGATGTCAAACTCACATTGTCATGGTGGTGTCACATGATGTCGGACTTTTTTTCCCTTTGCTAAACCGGATGTGAGTGTGGCCAGTGTGTGGTGCATTGGTCCACGGACCCGGAGTTTGACAGCCCTGATTTAAGCTATTTCTTCTTAATAGAAACACATTTCCATTAGCTAACAGTTTCCTGAATGATGTCTTGGTTAACAAGACAAAAGTTTAAAATTGGCTTAGACATCATCCTCTAAAATGGAATCCAAAGATTCAGATTTGATACCTAATGACTGATATGCCCTAAAGCTGAAATGCAGGTTCCAAGTAGGGAGTCCTAAACAGAACAAAGTTCAATTTTTTTGTAGAGGTAGTCCTCAATTTATGACCATAATTGAGCCCAAGTGATATTAAGTAATTGAGTGCCCAATTTTTGTCCTTTCTTACTATAGTTGTTAAATGAATCACCACAGTTATTGACACAATTGTTAAGTGAATCTGGCTTCCCCACTGACTATGCTTGTCAGAATGCTTGTCAGAATGTCATAAAAGGTGATCACAGGTCATTGTGATCCATCATAAATATGAACTAGTTGTCAAGTGTCTGAATTTTGATCACATAACAATGAGAATGCTGCAAGTTGTAATTGTGAAAAACATTCATGTCACTTTTTCAGTGCCCTTGTAACTTCAAACAATCACTAAACAAATTGTTGTAAGTTGAGAACTATCTATATTTTGCTAGTTCAGATTCATTTAGTGTAAAGCATTACAGACCTCAATAGTCCATTCTCTCTTGACCAACCCAAACTTAGTTTGATAATGCCTAACAGTGTAGTCAAATTCCAAAAATAGACACCTCTCCCAGACTAAAAGAGCACAGTGAATGCCTATTGCAAATATTACATAATTGACTTTTTGGAAGGCCGTGCAATTGTTGGTAGATAGGAGAGATAAATAATGCAAATAATAATGCAGAAAAATGCCGTAACTAGAAAAGATTGTAAGAAGAAAAACTATAAAATATAATTGTCTGAACTATAAAGTTGTTTTAATTTTTCCAATAAATTTAGTCAATACAAATGAATACTGAAAAGAAAGGACTTGACTGAAGCATAGAAATCTATTATTTTGATGAGACTCCTGCTTCCCAAGCATGAATACCAATATAAATTGTTACACTTCTTATGCACAGTAACATCTGGTTGTAATTAATGATACTTAATAGTAATGCTGTGCTCTTTATTAATATAAATAAAAGTTCATTTGACATTATTTCAGTACTATAAAAACTATTTTATGTGCTCTTCATTCATTCAAAAATAACCCTAATAACAATAACAGCAACAACATTGCTTACCGTCTCCGTTTTTATTTTCTTAGATTCTTCCTGTTTTTTATCAGTATCTTCAGGTTGGGAAGCCTGTTTTAACAGCTTTTCCGTAACACCAGCTGCTCCTTTTTGTTTAGAAAGTTCCTGACTTTTTCGTGGAAGTATTTCACTTGTTTTTCCTGTTTCCGTTTTTTGTAATTTAGGGGTTGTTTTTTCTGTTCCGCTAATTAAATCATCTCCTTTAACTTTCCCTTTTGTTGCTTTCTTGCCTTTCTTTGGAACCTCTTCCACACCTGCTGATAAAGGGAACTGCCAGTCTGGAATTGTTGGTGGTATTTCAGCAAGTTGAATCTTTGCCTTTTCAACTTCCTGTATGTTTGAAAAAAAAAAGTTAAAATACATAAGAAATTCATCAGGTTTCATAATCTTTAAACTTGAAATTTTCAACACAGCATCCCAAAAATGTGATGGTAATGACAGACATATAATCCTCTCCTTATGCTACATCATTGATTTATTTAAAAAAGTATTTTGCCTTTTGCCTCAAATCCTTGTTGGGCCTTTGTTACCAGATTTTCTTTTATTCTGATTGAATAGTTAACAATTGTCACTATCTCCGCACTTTCTATCCAGAGGGAAAATGAAGAAATGCATACCAGGTGACAGTGACCTCTTAGTATTATGCACCAAAACCCTTTCTGTCCAATATTCAACAGTTTATTATCTTCCACCAGTTTTTTTGGGATATCATGGAAGAAAACTCCAGAACTGCTGAAAATCTCTTTAAGTCTCATTGCAACATGCAGGGGATAAGATGGACACTCCCCAGTCACAGGATTTTCTGCCAACAATGCTGGGATTTCCCAGACATATAGTAGATCTTCAATAACACTTTTTTGGAAGTGAGATCTGAGGCAACTCAGGAGTTCATGGCTATAATGACAGCCATGGGCTGTTTTAGATCATCCAAATTCCAATATAGGACAATGGTCATCTACTTATCTGGTTTTCCATTCACCACTGTCCGCTGCAAGCAGGTAGGACTTAGATTGGTCATCCCTCAGTAATAAATGGACCCTAAAGGATTTCAGGAGGAATTGGGTGCTCTTCCTGCTGGTCTGTTGAATGGTCTGCCTGAAGCCTTGGTTGTCACTTGGAAGAAGAGGCTCACCAAGGTCTTAGATCAGATCACACCTATGTGATTTCTTCCCTCTTCTGACTCCCATCACTCCCTATCTTTCAAATAAGAACTAAGGGAGACGGTAAAGAAGAAATCTCTAAAGATCACCAGCATTAAAGGATGAACTCAATTTACTAAGGATTAGAACCACTATGAATACCAAATGGCAGTAAGGACAAGGGACAATACTTCCTTGCTACTTATTACATCTGCAGATAGTCATCTGGTGTCCTTGATTTATGAGATGCATAATCTCTTGGATAAGAGAGATCACCTTACAGGACTATATGAAAGAATTTGCTCAGCTTGACAGTTGCTCACATTCATTCCCTATTGTTTGGGAACAGTTTGAACCACTTGGGCTGATTTTTTATCACTATAAGCTCAGCCACCAATTCTTTGCCCTTTCTGGATAACTAAAGTTGTCTGACTCTGAAGAAGCTGTTCCAGCTGAAACTCTGGAGTTCAACCTTGGGAGAAAAACAAGCCAAGAATCACTTTGACATTGATCAAACACAGGCATTATCAGAACAGCTGGAGAAAGCTGAAAACAGAGCTTAGCCAATTCCTATACTGTGTCTTTGCAATCAGTCATAAGAATCAAGTCAGACCATGAAATAGCTGGGAGATAACCAAGTAGAATTTCATGTACTTATTTGAATAGTTTTTCAAGTCGCAATATAACTAAGTATACAAGAAGTAAATATGGGAAAATATTTCTGCCTAAAGGGATCAGAAAATTCTCTTCCAAAATACCTGTAAAGCTTTCTGTAGCTTCTCCTCAAGCATTTTCTTCTCTTCCTGAAGGGACTGAATGTCTTCCTACAATGTCAATATCAGTTTAGATTTATATTTAGCTGTTTCATTTATATTCAGATTTCAGATTTAAAAGTTTGCTTGCCCTTTCCTATTGTAAAAATGTACAAAAATTCACTCAATTTTCCTAATACATCCCAGAGAATATAATTCAGTTGGTTACCAACCATTTATTGCTTTCTGAATTTTTAAAATTATATTTATCTGGTATAAAATCAGAAAAAGTTGACTGAATGAGTAAGCCCTTTTTCTGTGCTTTCAGAAATATAATACATAACCCATCTTTCTTAAGGATTTCTAGCAAGATCTTGAATTTTGTGTCCATCTTTCTTATCCTGAATTCTTACACTTTTTTTAAATGGCTTGAAAAATAATCTTATTAATAGAAAATTTTTATAAAATTTAACATCATATTTTTATACAGATTTTAAATGAGATGTCTACAAAATATATTGACATATTTGTCTTTTACCTGAGCTTTATTTAAATCATCTTTCATTTGTGTTTGTTCTTTTTCCTTTGCAAAACCAGACTCCAGTTTCTGCATTCTGCAATAAGAAAATATAACACAAATTAATGACTAGATCATCATAATATAGCAACTAGACTGCTAAAAGATCAGAAGAAAATGCTCACATGGTAATTTCTCAATTTTCCTAGCAAGTACAAAAAGGTCTATAAATTATGGCAATCTAGAATGTGTCTTTGAATTTAGCTTGTTATTTGAAGCCAAGCATTACAATCATTATAATTATGACTGAAGTGATATGGCTCCACAAATGTAAAACCCAATCTGTTATAATGTATAGTGTGAAAGCTTTTCAAAATATAGAATATGTTCAGTAATGAATTTTAAAATGTTCAGTGTAACTAGTTCAAAACAGCCAAACCATAAAGTGCTATTTGTTAACCTAGTTAAATTGTTAACTCAGAAATAGTCAAGTACATTTGTGTGTTCATATATTTACATTCATAGAGAAAGAAAGAAAAAGTTACACAATGCAAAAACAACATTTATAATATCAGATGCCTACTATTTAGCACTTTAGAAAGCATAAGAAATTTTTGTAGTACAAGGTACCATGAAGTATAAGAAATTTTAGTAGCACCAGATACCTTTAAAAAATTTTTCAACTGGTATATCTACTTTTAGTTTTTCTGAAAAGGGTAAGTAATCTATGCTCTGATAATATTCTAGTTGAACCATTGCCTTATACATGGTGACACCCTTAGACAGGTAATAACAGAATAATAGAGTTGGAACTAACCTTGGAACTCTTCTAGTGTAACTACCTGCTCAAGCAGGAGACCCTATTCCATTCCAGACAAATGGCTATATAACCTCTTCTTAAAAACCTTTCAAGTGTTGGAACATCCACAATTTCTGGAGGCAAGCTGTTCCACTGGTTATTCTTCTCACTGTCAGGAAATTTCTTAGTTCTAGGTTGATCTCTTCTTGATAATCCATCCATTACTTTTTGCCTTGCCTTCAGGAGAATAAGTTGACCCCCTTTTCTTTGTGACATCCTCTTAGATATTGGAACATTGCTATAAGGGCATCTTTGTTTTCATTAAATTAGATGTATTCAATTCCTGCAACCATTCTTCATACATTTTAGCTGTCAGTCTCCTAATCGTCTTTGTTGCTCTTCTCTGCACACTTTCTAAAGTCTCAACATCTTTTTTATATTGTAGTGACCAAAATTGGACACTATATCTTATTTCTGTCTTACCAAAGCAATAAAAATCTACAGTTAATTCAAAATATACTGCAGTCATAATTTTAAATAGGATGATTTTCAGGAAACTTCATTCTAGTTTTAGGAATTTTTATTAGTTATTGAGTCATTCCAAATCCAATACAAAGTGCCAGTTTTCACTGTTTCCATTTTTAGTGCATTCTGATCCTAATTTCTAAAGGCCACCATCTCTGGCTAAATCTAAGAGACTTATGATCTAAAATGTACTACTTGTCAGAATGCTTCCAAGCTTCAGTGGATGGCAACATGAACGTACTGAAGTACACGAAGGTACTGAATTTCTATTACTATTAATCATAGCTTGTATAATAGCAATGGCACCCAGCTTTCAGATAACTTCAAATAAAGTAGCAAATAAATAAGAAATATATAATAACATGGCAATAATTAAGATATAATAGTTATTTTAAATTAATAAAAATTCAAATTTCATTAGTTTTCTGAATACTTTAGCACAAATTTTATAAAATTAACTAGTCTATGTATTCATTTTTTCTTACATCTGAGCCTTTTCTGAAGAACCTTGTGGTTTCTCTTCAACTCTCATCTTCTCCAGTTTTAGTAATTTTTTCCTTGTCTCTGGTATTCCTTTATCTTGCTGTCAATAAGCATTCAAGAAAATGAAGCAACAGTTTTGTATTATACAGTTTCTTGTACAGCTGTATTTGATAGTGCATGTGTCAAATAACAATAGAATTATTCCTAATCCAATTGTCAAAATCAGTAGATCTCACTTTTCCCTTGATAATATCCCCAAGGTGGTTATTTAAATTAGATAACAACTAATTCCAATTTTTATTCACAATTCTTGGAAACAGAAGAGCAGTGTCAAGTTTAGAAGCCATATTAGCCTGGGGAAATAGGAGGGGGGAATTTCTTGGAGCGAATGCTATTATGTCTAACAGATTTAATAGATAATCAGAGTTGGAAGGGAACTTGTAGGTCATCTAGTCCAACTCCCCGCCCAAGTGGGAGACCCTACACCATTTCTGACAAATGGCAGTCCAATCTCTTCTTGAAAGTCTCAAGTGAGGGCCCTCCCACAACTTCCATTGGTTGATTGTTCTCACTGTCAGAAAGTTTCTCCTTATTTCCAGGTTAAATCTCTCCTTTAATCACATACGCTCCAAGAAATTCCCTCCTCCTATTTTCTCAGGTTCAAGAATGTGGCAGTGTGGAAGTGTCTGATGCTAATATGGTTTCCAAAGCTGACAGGCAGATCCAAGGTGACGTAAACCAATTTCTTGGTTTACGTCACCTTTTCTTGTGGACTCCAAGACTCCAAGAAAAGACTCAGGATAGGATCATGTGAATGAACTTCCTTTGGCCAAAAGAGCCACTGAAAGAGCTACTGCCACTTTGGCCTAGTAATCCAGCTAGCACAGTCCAGGAAAAGCCATGGCTTCAACTCTTAGGAACATCTTACCTCCTGAGGTAAAATAGGGTTCCATCCTCCTGACCATCCACAAGAGCCTTAAAACCTGACTCTTCATGTTAATTTGGGGCCCCCATGGGGAGGAATTTCACACCAGAGTGACTGATTGACTAATAATAGTTCCCAGCCATCCGCATCCCTATGTATTCTATAGTAATAACTTGTATTTTATTGTAATTCTAATGTGATTTTATATGTTTATTTATATATTTATAATTTCATTTTAAACTGCCCAGAGTCTTGTGTGGTTAGTAGTGAGTGTATGACCAAATTAAATAAATAAATAACACAACACAAAATAAAACAAATAACAAGATGTACGGATTAGAGCTTTTGAACTTCTCTTCGAATGTTTGCATTATATCTTAAGAGTCTGCTTATTAGGCAGTGCTGTAAAGGAACCCCTTATCAGCTGATGTTTACATTGGAGATACTAAATTCTTCTTTCTGTGATTCTGCATAATCCTTTCAGGAAGTTCTAACATGAAATTATTCTTTTACTGGACTTCAATTTTACTCTCTTTTTTTCCTTTTACTCTCTGATGTACCTTAACTTTTAACATTTTCAATCTATTCTTTTCTCTATAGGTGGGATCAATAAATTCTCATTAGTCGTTTTTCTGCACAGGGATAAATTATTTCATAGTTATTACTTTATAGTCTACCATAATTATGATCCTATGTGCTCCTCAGTATTAATCCTCCCATTGTTAAACATTCTAGGAAGAGAATAACGCTATAAGTATAATTTTGAATTTCTAATCATGTAACAAGCAAACTAGATTTAACATAAGGAATTATGTCACGTTGGCATTTCACCAAATAACAAAAATTCCTGTGAGTTCCCATATGAACAAAAACCAAGTATAACTAAGAGAGAAGAAGAGGAGTAATTTAGTTCCCATACAGCCTTAGGCTGATCAGAAAGAGATCTGAATATGACACCATGTCAGTAACTAAGTTCTAAATATTTAAATCCAGCTTCAGTTTCTCTAAGATGAAAACTAGATCCAGTGTGAATTCATTACACTAGTAAGGATCATCAGTTGGGACAAGCACAGTTGTCAGGTCAGACATTTCTGATCCATCATCAACCTCACCTCAAGAAACAGAAATTGATGCTCCCAGCATTAATAGTATGGAAGACTCAATCAAAAAGTCAAAAAAGAGCAGAATCCATAAGTTGTCCATAAAGCCCAATTTAGTATGGCTACTTCTGAGAGCCAATATGGATAGAGGAATAACTGTCTATTTTTGGCCAAATTTTAGCAACACAAACTAAGTGCGTTAATTTCTCCAGAAAAAAATACCATCTTAATACCAACAGATCTGGCATTTGGCAATAATATCCTTCTCCAGCAATATAGTGTTGATAGTCCCAGAAAAATAACAATAGAAGAAGGTATCAGCAACTAACTGTTTGTCTGTCTTAATCAGATCCATAGTACAATTCTCATTTTTAGAAATGAAACTTTTTATGTTTAATAAAGTTTGTTGTTCTTAAAGGTATTATAATATCTGAAGTTTCAATTCTATTAATAACATTGAATTTAATTCATAAATTACCTCTGAAGCTTTCATTTTTTGAAGTTCGTCCTCCATTATTTCTTTTTCTTCTGTTAGCTTTTTAAATTCTTTCTGAATTTTCTGTAATTTCTAATATTAAAAAAAACAAGAGTCAAGAAAGGCTAGACACTTCAAAATATTTGGGATCTCAAAGAAACTTTATCCCTCCTTTGGAAAGAATTATTATATACGAGAGTTTTACAAATCAGCCGATTCACACCAGCTTGGGCAAACTGGTAGCAACGATTTGGCGTGGATTGCCGAACCAGCAGTGACTTCTGGCTGGCCACACCCCCGACCCAGTCACTACTCAATTGCTTGCCCTGCCCAGCCAATGCTCACTCACCCTCCCACAGAACGTTTGCCCTGTCCAATCACTCCTTACCTCCTATGTGGCACACTGGGTCTCATCACTTGCCTTTAACCTGCCTTCCCACGTGGTGCCTGCACCCCAACTGAACAGCCCTGATCTGCCTCCTCACAGATAAGTCTGCAAGTCATGCTAGCTCCCCACCACTCCCGGATTTTTCCAGGCCACCCTCACCTTTCCCAGAGCTTGTTGTGCCCCCCCACCATCCCCGGGCTCAGCTGGCTGACTTCCCCTCTGGTGTGGCCCCATCCTGGGAGGTAGTGCTGGCTGGGGCCTAGCTGTCCCCCCACCATCCCCGGACTCGGTTGGCTGGCTTCCCCACTGGCGTGGGCCCATCCCAGGAGGCGGTGCTGGCTGGGGCCTAGCTATCTGACCCCCCCCCCCCCCCCGTCCCCGAGCTTGGCTGGCTGGCTTCCCCACTGGTGTGGCCCTATCCTGTGTGGAGGCGCTGGTTGGGGCCCAGCTAGCTGCCCACCACCACCGTCCCTGGGCTCAGCTGGCTGGCTAAACCAACACGCGGCACTCTACCTTTCACGTGGGGGCCACAGTGCAGTGAGCGGTGGCAGAGGTGCTCTGACAGGGGACTCCCAGGGCTGCCTCTCATAGCAGCACCACTGCCTCTGCCACCTCTGCCACCCGTTTCCTTTCGTTTTATCCCCCAGCAGAAGCGAGCGGCGACAGAGGTGCTCCAACAGGGAGGGTGGAGACCCCGCTGCCTCCCATAGTAGTGTCACTGCAGCAGCACTGCTGCTGCTACCTGCTTCCTTTTGTTTTGTCCCCCAGAAAAAACGAGCGGTGGCAGAGGTACTCCATCCGGGAGGGCAGGGCCCAGCTGCCTCCTGTAGCAGTGCCGACACTGCAGCGCTGGCGGCAGCGCCATTGCCACCTGCTTTCTTCCTTCTCCTGCCACCCACTGCTCTGGAGCTCACCAGATCAGTTTGTCCCAGTCAGCCCAGGTATGTGTGTGTGTGTGAGAGAGTATGTGATATATGTGTGTGTATGTGTGTGTATGAAAGAGAGACAAGAAAGAAAAAAGAAAAAGAAAGAAAAAAGGAAGAGTAAGGAAGGGAGAGACAGAGAGAAAAACCTCTGTGCTATTATTTTTAATTGTTCTGTTATTTATCATATATTAATATTTTACACTGTTCCTATACCTAGATTGATTTTTACTGCCTTTTCTTTTGCCCAGGTATTTTTCAGGGTTTATGTGCATTCAATGTCTATAGTCCAGCGCATAACTACACGTGTGTTTAACAGAGTTGAAAGTGACTGTGGAGGTCTTCTAGTCCAGGGGTTGCCAATCTTTTGGACCTCAGGGACCACCAAACTCATAATTTTAAAAACCAGGGACCACTAACCAGTTCTGTGGCCTAATTCGTGGGTGTGGCTTGGTGGTGATGTGACTGGCTGGGCATGGCTTGTATGTAAATATTATAAATATTTATCTAAATATTCATTTTTTATTAAAAAAGAGCAACTTTTACACCAAATCAGGCAAAGCAGGTAGGCAGATTGAGATGCTCACAGAATCACAGATTCATTCACAAATCTATCTGCCATTAGCTAGTTCAGTCTGTCACACAAAATTTGCTTGCAAGCAAATTCATAAAATTTGCTAGCAAGCAAACTCACAAAATTAACTCACAATACACCATGTATGTAAATATTGAGGGTTTTATAAAAAAAGAGCAACTTTTACCCAAAATCAGGCAAAGCAGGCAGGCAGATTGAGTTTCTCACAAAATCATTCAGTGATTTATCTATCTGCCATAAGCTAGCTCAATCTGTCACATAAAATTTGCTTGCCATGAGTCTGCACTGAATAGAACCTTCAGTCCTAAGGGAGGTTCAGCTGTGCTTAAAAGCAGAGCTGAAGATCTAAAGATTAGCTAGAAAGGAAGAAATCCAACCATTTCCTGCTTCCTAGATAACCTAAATCTCCGGGCACAGCAGAACAGCTGATGGTCAGGGAAAAAAAGGAAAAATAGCAACTTAGCAGGCAAGTTTGCCAGGTAAGGAGTGAGAGGGCGGGGAGGGTTCCCACAGGCCATGTGGGCTGCGCAGCCTTGTGTTTCTGTGCAGCATGGATTAATTGCTTTGGGGAGGGTGCTCTGGGGGTGAGATTTCTCTGTGACCCACCAAAATTTTCTCACGGCCCACTGGTTGGCGACCACTGTTCTAGTCCAACCCCATGCTCAAGCAGGAAACTGAGGATGCCAAACTCTGAGTAGAGGTCCTAGGAAAGGTGTCAGAATAACAGAATAACAATTAGAAGGGACCTTGCAGAGAACCCTATACCATTTCAGAGAAATGGCTGTCCAGTCTTTTCTTTAAAACTTCCAGTGATTGAGCACCCAGAACTTCTGGAGACAGGCAGTTCCATTGGATAATTGTTCTCACTGTCAGAAGTTTCTCCTTAATTTTAGGCTGCTTCTCTCTTTGTTCAGTTTCCATCCATTGCTTCTTTTTGCCTTCTGGTGCTTTGGAAAATACATTGCCACCCCTTCTTTCTAACAGCCCCTTAAAAGCCTGTTGCCTATCACACTCTTGGGCAAAGCATGTAAGCTATTTGCTCCTTTCAGTGGTCCATGAAAGTACATCTATAGTATGTAGATAATAAAGACAAAAAACAGTGACGAACATTTTTACAGAACTATAGATACATTGAAGCTGGATGTGACAAGAAATGGCTGGGAGGGGAGGGGCCAGGTGAGGCACCCCTTGACGTGAGTTACATGACCACCAAGCCATGCCCACCCAGTCACATGACCACCAAGCCACGCCCACCCAGTCACATGACTACCAAGCACACCCACCAAATAAGCCACACCCACAGAATCAGTTGTAAATTTTTTGGAAACCAACCACTGTTACAAATGCATGTGAAATAAAGGGCAGTGTGGAAAGCTATACAATATTTGTTGTAAATACAGAATAAAAATAGTTGCTGATGTGATAAGCTTGATATATGTTAGAAGTAAAGCATGCATGAAAATAAACAAAACATTATGTGAGCAGTTCAGCATTAAGTAGGGCAAGAATATGTAATACCAATTTGTTATTTGTATACAATCAAACCAGAGGTGGTATTCAACCGGTCCGTACCTGCTCGGGCAAACTGGTAGCGGTGATTTGGTGTGGGTCGCCGAACCGGTGGAGACCCTTGGCTGGCCATGCCCCCAACCCGGTTGCCTGGTCGCTCACTTGCCCTGGTCGCTCTCCTAGCTTTCCCTACCACATGGTGGCCAGGCGCAGCTTGGGCAGATGTCCTGCAGCTGCTGCACGTGCACACTATGAGTGCAGCCACTACATATGCAGTGCACATATGCAGCGGCCCTGGGACATCCGCCCACCTGCCTATCCGCCCAGAGCACGCTTCTCCCAGTGGATGCACCTCCTACAGCCCAGCCTGGCCTGGCACAGCTAGCCAGTAGGTGGCCACATGTCCAGCCGTCCCTTTTGCAGTGCCAGAAGCCTCTCCCAACTGGCCGACTACTCTCTTCCTCCTCAGCCATATAGAACAAGCAGGTAGAGAAGGAAGAGAGCAGCCGTCCATCCGGTTGCGCTGAAAAAGGAGTGGCTGGGACCGAAAAAAAGCAGTTTCCAACCACCTCTTTCAGAGTGCTGCACCAGCAGGGTCAATGGGGTAGACCTGCATGGGCGGTGGCTAGGATGCAGCGGAGGCGGCGGCAAGGGGTTGGAGAAGCGCAGCAAAACCTCTTGAAGAAGCCTATAGCCACTGCATGTTTTTTTCAGTGTTGAAGGAAGGAAGGTAAGGTCGAGAAAGCTGCCTGGCCCAGAGCTGCTGGTGGCAGGGGTGGCGGGGTGGAGGCTGCAGCACCCACCTCGCTTGAATTTCCCAGCCCAAAAAGCCGGAGGGGAGGAAAGCTTTTTCAGGCAATGCAAGACAGGAGACTGGCTGGGATGAACCCTTGTAATAAGAGATTCTGCTGGGTACTTGTGTGTGTTTCAGATGGGTCTCCTTTCCTAGAGAGAAAGGAGAGAGGAAGAGAGGAAGAGAGGGAAAGAGAGAGACAGAGAGAAAGAGAGAAGGAGGGAGAGAGGGAAAAAGAGAAAGAGGGAGAAAGAGAGAGAGAGAGAGGAGAAGAAAGAAAAGAAAGAGAAAAGGGAAAGAAATAAAAAAAGGAAGGAAGGAAGGAAGGAAGGAAGGAAGGAAGGAAGGAAGGAAG